GGCGATACCAAACTTTCTCCTCACCAAAAAAAGTAATAAATAAATCAATCAATCAATCAATCAATCAACTTCTTTTTCAATTTAAATCGTTGAGTCTTTTACGTATTCGTTCGGGAGAGGGAAAAAAATTATTTTTTTAAAAAATGTATAAGAAAAAGTTATTGAGCCACATTAAAAAATTGATTTTAAAAAAAAAAAAAATGAATTTGGAGAAAAATGATATTAAACAAAAAAACCCATATGCTTGGAAAGAATTTTAAAATAGTTTAATTTATAAAGATATAGAAATGAGTCAGAGATAAATGGATAGTACTCGTATTTTTTTGAATGATGTGATTTGAAAATGAAGTTTAATAATTGTAAAATTAAGTGCGTGTTTGGTAGGGATTTTTTGGGGGAAGAATTGATTTTGAATAGTGATATGATGGAAAATGTATGGTTGAAAAAGAAGATAAGATTATTGATGTGATAGAAAATATTATTTTATTGAAAAATGTGTGGTTGAAAATGAGAATTGATTTACTGTTGAAAATGAGAATTTGTACCAATCATAGCATTAGACTTGAAAATAGGAAANTATTGAAAAATGTTTGTTTGAAAATGAGAATTGATTTACTGTTGAAAATGAGATTTGGTACCAAACATAGCCTAAGTTCTAAAGTTCGTCAAACGGTGTTAACTTTCGTAGATTTTAAGCTTAGTCGGAATTCGGAAGTTCTATTGGATTGTATATGTTTAAAGATAAAACATGAAACGTGCGAATTGTCATTTTATCTTTATTTTTGAATTTTGAAGAATGGATGACCAGGTACAAAGTTCTGTCTTCATGTTCAACTGTCTACAGCTATTTTACCATAGAAAACACGACTCTCAAGTTTGGAGCATTTAAATCACATGTTTTTGGAGATAACCCTAAAGGAAGTGTCACCGTGACACGTACTTTTTATCCTTTGAATAAACCGCTCTTTCACGTTATCGACTATAAATTTAGGATTTGACTTTTTATGTTTAGACACTGGTGGACCGGTGGGCTTGGGGGGCACGTGCCCCCATGGACGGACCTAAGGGATGCTGGGGGAAAGTACTCCCAACTTTTAAGATTTTTTTTATAAAATCGTATTTGATATTGATTGAAATTTAAATCAAAACTAACAATTAATTTTAATAACATATTTTATGAAATACATAACTTTTTAACCTTTATCAAAATTTATTAAAAATTTGATTTTAATCTCCACCAAATATGGACAAAATCACAATAAATTTGAATTTCGATAACATGCTAATTTTAAAAATTCTCCGACGATCATACACTAATCGAATTTACAAATTGTTTATCTCATCTCAAAACTTATTTCGAGAACTACATTATGGGCATATCGAATAATCCAAACATATATCGAAAATAGTTAAAAATACGTTAAACACAAGTTTTAAAAAAAGACAGCAAACTCGCATTTTTTAAAAAAAATCAATTATTTCTTTCACATTTATTATGTTTGCGATACAGATTTTTTAATGTAATTTTCATCATTTTCTTAGAACATTTTATATGGAATATGACATTAAAGATTTTCGAAATTTTATATTCGAAAAAGTCATATCCATGTAAATTTTCGGATGTAAAATTATATAGGACATGATTTTTTTGGACGTAAATTTTCGATTGTAAATTTCTCCCAATTTCTTTGGAAGTTCGATTGTGCCCCCGAAGTTTTAAGGTATGTGTCCGCCCCTGCGTACTCCCAAACTTTGCTTTTTTTTTTTTTATTTTCTATGTTTTGTTTTAATTTTCGAAAATCATTATAAAATGTGAAACGAAATCGAAATATTGCATTCTTAATACTTTTTCGAAATGCTCACAGTTTAGTTTTTTATGTCGTTAACAGCGTACAAAACGACCAATTGTAACAAATATTACGACTTGTCAAAGTATGCGGTTTAAAATTAGTATTTCAAGAACTTCGATAATATGTTAACTTTAAAAATTCTCCGACGATTATACGGTAGTCGAATCTACAAATCGCTTATATCATTTCAAAACTCGTTTCGAGGACTACATTATAGGCATATCGAATTGTTCAAAAATATAAAGAAAATAGTCAAAGATGCGCCAAACGTACGTCTTAAAAAGAGGCGTCTAACTTTAAAAAAATTAATTATTTAATTAACATTTATTATTTTTGTCTCAATATAATTTGAATTATTTTA